ATATTCATTATAAATACTGCATTTCTTGAATACATTTAATAAGTTGATCAAAAATCCAAAACAAGAACAAACCGTTGTATTGCTATATTTTAGAAGTATATCAAATTTATCTTCTTAACTTTGATTTATGTAGTTTTTTTGCACTAATCTTTTAAATTTGTTTTTGAACTCATCCAGCGATTTACTCATTTTCAGATCCGTTTCAAGCTTATTCCACAGATTGACTCCTATTACTGATACACACCTTTGCTTGATGTTTGTTCTTGTTCTGGATTTTTTGTATTGATTAGTACCCCTTAGATTATAACAACTATCTCTAATTTCAAAAAGCTTCTGGATATTTTGGCAAAGGAGATTGTTATGTGCTTTATACATTAATTGGGCGATTTTGAAGTCAACCAGGTCATAGAATTTCATTGTGTTTAATTTGATGAATAGTGGATTTGTGGGTTCTGTATATTTCGACCTATTGATTATTCTGATTGCTTTTTTTTTTGTAGTTTTAAGACAGGGAGTGTGTTTGTTTTACAGGCGTTCCCCCATATTTCCACACAGTAGGTCATATATGGGAGTAATAATGACCTACTGTGTGGAAATATGGGGGAACGCCTGTAAAATGCAACAATGTTAGACTTGATTAAAACACCAATAACGACCCTCCGCAAAGGATTTTATCCATCGGACTGCTGCCATGCAACAACCGCTTTGTTATTTTAGGTTTTTGTTTGATTTGGGGTTTTTTTTTAGTTGGAATGGTTTGACACAGTTGAGAAAGGTGGAAGGATGAGGAAAATATATACTACATATTTTTCATGTGGGAATTTTATTGTCATAAATGTGGAAAGGAATGATTGGAATTGAGTTGAGTTTTTTCAGCGAAAACGTGCCGAATATTGCCAACAATCATCCTGCTTTGTGACTGCTACTTCAGTGAACTAAAATACAGGTCCCAGCTACACATTGAGCTGGAGCCAAGAGTTGCTGTGTCCTGCTTCAAACCTCGTTTCGAAAAGCTGTGCATTGCAAAATGTGCTCATTGTAGCCATTCATCCAGACATCATCTTTGATTAAAAAAAAAAAAAAAATCAGCACAAATTATTTTATATATTTTTGTTTTGCAGGTTAAAGTTTTTTTTTATATTGTGCTCCTGAGTTAATGTTGGTGGTCAGTTTGAATGCATTGTTATTTATTGATTTTTTTTGTAATTTTATTTTTCAGTATCGTATGGTTTGACATGATCAGTCAAAAATGTTTACAGTTGAATTAAGGATTTAATTTTATTTTTGAATTTCAGATGAACTTTAAATCTTTTCTGTTGCAGTTAATAAAGCTATTCTTTGTTGTAAGTTGGTCCATATTTCTTTCTTGTTTTATTCTCTTTTAGGTTAATAAGAATACAGTATTATGCAGAGGTGTTCTTGTAAGAATTTTATAGACAAATGATACTATTTATAGTCGTGGGGGGGCGTGAGATGTTTTCTTCTTCCTGAGGGGGGCATGACAGAAAATAATTGAGAAGCACTGGTATAATGTGACATTTTTGACAGTGGGAATTTTTGACTAATGTGGAAAGTATTTCCTCTCATGTCCTGAATTTTTGGAATCTTTGCAAGTTTTAATGTTTTGAATAATTTAAGTAATAGGGGTGTGTTTCCCTCTTCACACAATGAGTGTGAGATAACCCGACTATGAGTCATTTTTGTTTAACCCTAAATGAATTGTAACTGCAGAATACCAGAAAGCTGTACGACCTAATTCCAGTCCTCATTTGTCATTTTGAAGTACTAACCTGGCACGGCGACAGAGGAAATGGCCTCTGGCTGGCACAGCGTGTCCACTTTCACGTGCTGAAAGGCTTTGTTAGGACCTGACTGAAGGTGCCTGGAAACATAGCATGTGGTTGAGTTTTCACATACGATACATCCAGACACTCACACATACAGTCCAAGTCCTTCAAAATATGGCCCTTAGCAATTCCTGTAGGAGTTAAAATATTAATGACAGTGAGTATCTGGTGCTGGATGTGAGCATCAAAGCGGAAACTTGAAGCAGCAGGCAGCTTCGACCTCAGCAGCTTTGCTGCGTCTCAACTTCCCGCAGCCATTCATAAGAAAGCGGGATGACTAATCCATTATGAATGCAAGAGCATTTTTCATAAGTTAAAACAACATAGCAAGGAAGTACGTAAATGAAACAAAAGGAGCTGCAGTAATGTGAAAGCTGATTGTCAAACAAGCAAAATGAAAGAAATAATATGAAGGAGCGGGTCCTCTTAATTCTAATTCGCTCAGCATTATTTCCCCTCTACGTTCTAATGAAGTCAGTCGGCTACTTTGAAACGGCTTATTTTGCCACAGAAAGTAACAAAATTCATCGAATTACTATTGTACCTTTTCCACTCATCCTCTCCGTCCCAGAACTCATAGATGACAAAGGATAAGCCATCTGGCAGGCGCACTGCAGTCACACTGGAAAAGAGACAGACATCAGTAGCACAGCTCAGCAACGGTCTTCCTATTGGGTAAGGACAGAATAGCTCTATGACAATTTTTTGTCTTGTCTTGTGCAATTTCCACATTACTCTTTATTCTCATAAGTGTCAGAGACTTTTCTCAAAATAGTACTGTAATTCTCTGTATTTCTAGGAACTAAGATATCCTGCATTTGTCCGACACTGGGGAAATTTACAGTCTACAGCAGCAAATGTGGGGGGTAGAAAGAAGAAAAACAAAGTGTTTGCAAGCACAAAATAAATGTAGATAAAGAGAGCTGTACACAGTTCAATATAAGTGCAATATAAACATATTGGATCATCGAGCTTAAAAAGCGACCTGAGTTATTAGTGGGCAGAAAAATGCAGTCTGTTATTTTTATGTTTAAAAAGCTGGGAAGAAAAAGAAGTGTGTGACATTTCATATTTAACCCTTTCAGGGACAACGGTTACTACAGTGGACAGCTGATCATGTTATCAGGTTACAGGGTGCATGAACGGGTTAAGGCAGCAATAATCCGTGAAAGTTCTCTTTCAAACTTTCACCAGCACGAAAGAATGAATGCACACACACACACACACACACACACACACACACACACACACACACACACACACACACACACACACACACACACACACAAAAGTGTGGGTAAATTGGTCCCAAGAAAAACCAAGGTTGAACCTTTTAGGCAGAATTTCAAAATGTATGACCAGAAGAACACCATATGAATAGTAAAATATGGTGGTGCAGCTGAAACTGGGGCCTTAGTCATGTTGAACGGAATTATGAACCGTTTGAAATAGCAAGTTTTCCTTCAAGCTTCTGCTCGAAAGCAAAGACTTCAGAAAAGCCCACTAGAACAGCTGAACTTTATTTGGGAATATTTTGAGGCACTTAAAAAGGTGGCAGGTGTTCTGACTCCCACTTATGATTTTGAATGTGACTAGTTCTTTCTGAAAACAACCAAATCCACTTGTGCAAAGAAATCACCGCTCTTCATTTTTTAAAAATTGAATTCTACAAGTTATAGGCCATAATAATGGTCAATAAAACATTTGCAAGAGTTTACCATGGTCTCCTTTTGTTCGCACAAAATAGCTTGCGACCCAGGGCTTGTCATTGACCTGGGCCTTTTGCATGTCATGGGATACCTGAAGCTATTTTCATGTGAAAACTGCTGCAAATGTGAAATAAGAAATCATACTATATACAAAATTCATGCAGCGCTTGAACATGTTTGAGTTATGTGCCTCGTTGTGCTGACATTCAAGCTTAGGCCTAGCAAATGGCTATGTTCTGTATGTTCAAAGCAGGTCTTGACTATTGCTCCCAACAGACATCGGGGCCCTTTATACTATACGGTCTGGGGTCTTTGAATCTTAAATAAAATGCTCGAACTAACTTAGGTGAGAAAAATGTTTTTAAATGTCTTGTTTGAGTGTTTGCAGCATTTTTTTATTAATATTTTATTTATTTATTTGCAGATCATTTAGCTGTTAGTAATTCTTGTACTTGTATGGCATGATATTGTTTATGAGTGTGCGACTGCTCAGATTGCCTGTTATCACACAAGTTCAATTAAATTTTAAGAAGGTTTAAGGATTATAAAGGAACATTTTGAGTGGTAAATGCTCAATAGATAAGGCTAATGCTTATTACAGGCGATATGGTGTATAAAGATACAAGGCACGAAAGGTGCGGATGTCGCAGAATGAATGTGCAATTGGTTTGAATTTGACATACATTTACGAATTTTGTCCTTGACAAAAAGAATAGTGTTTTGAGTCGTGGGGTTTTAGTAGTTGAAGAAATACTAAGTTTTGAAATCAATGAAGAATTGTTTTAATAATCGTGATTTCAATCTCAATCAAAATAATAGCGATTATGTTTTTTTTTTATAATCGCTCAGCCCTTCACCAGTGTAAAAGTTAGGTTTTCCTGGTTATTGTATGCCAATATAAGTGAACAGAAAATAATAGAATACTAGGAATGTGTAACGTATATTGCAGCGACAGTACATTATGGAATGAGTTACAGTGCAGTGTTTCTTCTGGGTATCTTATGAGGTATAGATTCAGGCAACTGAGTCACTTACATGTTATAATAATAACATTTGGAAGTGCCGTGATATGGATAGGAATAGGTATCAGAAGGGGATAACCTGAACATAAAATGAAATGACAATGATAATATTGCATAACCAAAGCAGCACAATGTTTTGCCTGAGCTATGTTCAATTTTCATTGGGGGGTAACGAGCAAGGGCGGGGGATGTCTCAGTTACTTATCAGGATCAATAGGGGACAGTGAAACCATAAGAGTATGTCTCTGAATGAATAGATGCACAATAATCTTCCTGAAAGTCAGGAACACAGAAAACAACGTCGAAGGGACTTACTGAAAGCAGTCTCTCTGAGTGGAGACGTTCTTTAGGTATTGCTTCAGAGCCTCGCAATAGTCACCAAGCTTCTTCTGGGAAACCACCATTTCCTGACGGATCAGGAGTAGTGACTGCATCGAGAAAATCATTATTAAAAAGCATTGTCTTTAATGCATACGGAGCAGACAGAGTTTATAGAGTGTATTAAACTTTGTTCGAGTCGCCGGATTTCAATTTCTTGGAAACCATCAATGGCGCTATTTGGCAGGAGCAAAATGTACGGCTACAGAAAAGATTGGGGGTCAGCTACGTCCACCCCTGCAAAAAATGTGAAAAGGTTTTCTATTATCTGCACCCCCTTACAAACGCGCTCGATACAAGAGACGCAGGATGGGGATTCTTGGGGAATGATGGAAAATTCAATTTACACTTTTCATCTAAGTGGAGAGGAAAAGGACAAAGCTTTCGTTGCACAATGTTCAAAGAAAGGAAAAGAGGAGGAAAAGAAGTAAGCAAAAGAGGCACGTAGGTAAGACAGCCTCATTAATAATGACAACAGCATGGTTTTGTTTTTTTATTGAAATGTAGGCAAAAAGGTAACCTTTGAAATAATTTAACAATCTAATGTTTCACATAAAAGTAGGCAAGCATGCCGGAAAACAAAGCCCACATTTTGGGGTCCTTTACGTTGTTGTGGTTGTTGTTGTTGTTTTTTTTTTCTTAATAGAGGTCATTATTCAACACGGAAGTAGCAGCAGTAAAGACAAGTGTGCGGAGCAGGTGTACTCATTTACGAGCAGGAGGGCCAAAGAAAAGTGTTGGCTGCTGAAATGGGATGGAACGCCATCCCTTTCATTCATCTTTATTTCGCCGCTGTGGTTGAAGTCACTGGCCGAGAGGTGCGTTCCGATTGCGTTCGGAGCTGAGGACAGTACCGACACACAACAAAGGTAACGGTGTGCAAAGCTCGCATGTACAGTATATACAGTATTTCAATGTCTAAATAAAGGTCGGAAATCTCAAAACTCAAGTGGACACAGAAAAAGACAAAAAAGCTGTATGAGGGGAGAATCTGCAAAGTTGACTGAATTCCTTAATTGTTAGACGAGGGAACACAGGATGGAGAAGAAGACAATTATAGTATTAGGAAGCAAACTAAAGACTAAAGTGACAGTGTCTTTGCTCAATTAATGTCCTTGTGGGACTGTTTTATCATTTACATTGATACACGGAAAATGTTGATTTATTTTTTTTTTTTTTACAGAAAAGAATGTCATATTTAAGTAAAGCTTCAAAAGAGAGCTACTTTTATGGGGGGGGGGGCGTTCTACCCATAAAGAGGAGGCCTTATTCAGATTAGGG